TGTTCATTTATCTGGGCGCGTTAGTATTCATTATAGTTTTAGGAAATTCGTAATACAATTGCGAGCATTAAAGCCGAAGTTCTTTATTATATGGGAAAGTACAGTGCATTTATTGCGGTAGTAATTAATGGTCGCGTAAATAGCAAGGCAATTCTTCCTACGCGCAATTACCGGAGTACCATATCTCAATTAACTTTTTACGTTCGTAGAGCATAAAAATATTGGAAAAAATTCGCAGAATACAAGGTTTAATAGAATATTATACGCTTTCGTTTTCTTTCCGATTAACTGAAAATATTGACGGGGAAAAAGACGACGCCGTTTCATTTCAGTTTGTCGTAAATGTATAAATTTACATGAACATCCGTAGTCCACCAATTACGCTAATTACATCAATTCTACTAGATATATTTTACACTCCTCATTACAGAATCTATGTATCAAATGATGCATTGCATTAATACTCGCATGATTGCATACTTCAAACCGTTCGCTTGTCCCCAGGGGAGTGCAACTTTTAGCATAGGAATATAAGTCCCCATAAAATTAATTAATGGTAAATACATTTACGATCTCTATGAAGCATTAAATGTAATTACGACAATTACAAAATCTAACGATCGTACCACTGTAAATACAACACGATATTCAACCATTTTTTTCCAGTACAAAAACGTTCGAATATTCATATTACCGTCAACTAAAAAATTTCAAATTCACGTTAGAGTATAACCGGGAAAGTATTTAAACTCATCTAATATTCGTTTCTAATATTAGAATATTAGAAATTCCGTGAATATTAAAAACGAATTTTGCATGTGTTTAAATATTTTTGTGCTTTCCTTTCAATAGAGATTCAAAATGTCAATTGATCGTAGCGAATACTTGATAATAGTTTTATCGGGAAAGAATGGTTAAATATTGTATTATACTTATAGATTAAAAATCTTATTATTCTATAATCATTGTAATTACATTTAATGCCAGATGTGTGTTTTCATTTACCCATTAAAAATCCGACATTTCGTACCTAATAATACGTTGGCCGTCGCCAGTATAACATAAAGTGGTGTCATTTAGCACGATAAACGTGCAAAAACTGATAAACGCAACTCAATTAAATAATTCGATACTATATTCTTTCTATTTTTATCTGTAATATCTTTCAGGATTAAACTTCTGCGTACGAAGTTTTTTAAACGGTTCAAAACCTTCGCCAAAGGAAGCTAAATCATACATCGAACACTTGATTAATAAAACAAACGAAACTCTGTATTAATCTTTCATTATTTCAATAATCGAATTATTTGTTTGTATCTTTTTATCTTACCGATAAATATGGAACCTTGACGTCGCCGATATAACGACATTCGTCCTCAAAAGGATATCACCCGACTTTCATAATGGTTAGAATAATGTAAAAATTGTAAAAAACTAAATTATACATACAACACATAATTCTCGTAGCAGTCAACCTATATTACCCCTTTCTGAAATCAGAAAATATGAAATTTCATATTAATCGTTATACAATACATTACCACAGCAAACATTGAAATAAAACAGCCCTTCTTTAATTCATGCCTAGTTTCACTTTCCAAAAAAACGTCTATATATACTCAGAAAATATCGGAATGCTTCTCGTTACATTTTGTAATCACAGCGATACGAGTTTGAACTCCTTCAGTTTACTCAGTAGAAAGTACTAAAGAGCAAACCGATCGTAAAGTTATAAAAATTGTAGGTTTAATAAAATATTACTGTATACGGCGGACAAATAACCGACGCGAATTTATGAGACGACCTAAATTTCCGTCCAATTTTCGTTCGAATCGATCCGGAACGGTTGAAATTCCGCCGGTGGCTCGTTGTTCGATCAATAACGAACGTCGCCGATGGATGTTCGCTGTGGTCAGGGCTCGGGGGCCACGGTAGTCGCGGTATCCTAGATGAAAGGTGCCGCACAATGTCGCGTTCGTAAAGTAGTTAGACTTTCCCCCGCGGTTCTCCACAGTCCGCTGCACGGTTTCTGTTAGCCTCGTTCCCGGCCGCGTACGGATGGAAACGACGTTAAAATGTCGGCTATGCCGATTACCCGCAATGGATATACGAGATAATGAAAAGCCTCGTCTTCGTCCGGCGCTTCCGCGTCTTCGTTCCCTAACCCTCCTCCCTGTTTCTCCGCTTCTCCTCGGAGGCGAAGCATTTCCAGAGTTTGGCGTGAACATTTCAACTAACGAACGAAATGCGAATATTCTGAAATTTTGCGTACAATGGATATTACAGATCGTTATTGGTCATTGAAAAGAGATTGGACAAGTGAAAAAAATATTTTTGAAGGAGATATAATTTCTTTGCGTCGTTACGTTCAGGATAGTAATGATCTAATGAATATTTGTTTTGAGAAAAAACGCTTCCGTGAAATGTACTTGGATTAATGAAATATTTACGTTAAAATATTGGTAATAATATTAATTATTAATATTAGCAATTGTGATATCGCAATGCTTTTGATAATATTAATGATTAATATTAGTCATTGTAATATTAGCGTATAATTGATTCAAAAACATTCCACAATAGTATAGTATATGGTGTGGTTTACTATTAGATGATAATATTTGAAAATGTGGATCTTTAGTAAAAAGAGAATTAGGAAAACAATATATTTAATAAGATAAAGGAAACAATACGGACAACACGTAAAATACAACACACGACTCTCGCACCAAAAATGTTCTACTCCGCTGTCGCCCACCAAAATGTCCTCATGCACGCATTTCCACTCGCTTTTATCACACACCCCCATTCGCTCTGTCTTTCTCACCCTTGCACCCTTCTCACTCGCATCTTTCGTCCATGGTCAAAATTCACGCAGTCACGTACACGCTTTTCTCACGGTTCAGTCGCTCAGTTCCAGACACTCTTCCTCGCATTCTTTCAGCCACTCGAAATTGTCTAAACGCACTCACACTATTTCCCAAACATCCCGGCGCCGGTCCGTCGCAATACGACCTGGTCGCCCTTACGCACGCACAACAAACCATTCATCCTACAATAAATATTCTAGATACTACAATAGCTTTTTTTTCGAAGCGTCAGAGATAGTAGTTGGACTATTATTATTCTGAGCCAATTATGTACCATTTATGAAGCATTATTAATATTTCTTATATAATATATTTATGACGCGGTCGGTCTCGAGGTTAATCGCACGTTAGAGGCGTACACCGATTTCTTACCTCGGTAGACCGGAAGCCATCCTTCTTTTCCACACGGAATCGCGCGCATAGTCGTACCCGCATTCGGTACCCGTTTAGTTACCCACGATGTCGATGATTGATCTTCAATGATCGAGGGGTCGGAGGTCGCCGGAGAGAGACAGGTATGGACAGAGTTAAGTTTAACGAGGGAACATTCCGAAGTAACATTTGTCTGTTTTAATGATAGTTTGGAGGAGAAACATTTTTATCGAAACGTTGGATAAATATTTTTTAGTTTGGTATTATTTATATTAAAGGGGCCAAAGAATCCTTGAAATTAGGGTAGAAATTATTTAAACTTGAATACTCCGTGAATTAATCATCCGACTTCTTCCTAATAAAGACTCGAGCTTCAAATATCTATATACAATTTCAAAAAATAATCAAATAACTCAAAGCTATTCACAGAAGAATATTTTAATGGATAGAACAGCATATTTTCTATTAAACGTCTCATTTAAAAAAAGAATTATGCTTCAAAAGTATTCAATCAATTTTCTAGAAAAAGGAAGCTTCAAATGAAAAAGTTTCTACATAATTTTGACTTATCGTTCTTCGCGTAAAGTTACCCCCTTTCTCGATTGTATCACCAATTAAGTGACAGCCGGCAATATATATTCAAACAGCTAAGTTGCAAATTCTGTACGCAAAGCGAGGGATCCCGCGGAGGAGGAAGTTAACTGTTTAGCAGTAAGCGTTGAAATGTCGCATTCGTGTCGCTAACGGTTCGATTTTTCCCTCTGTTTGTTTCAGATGCCCAAATGGAGCAGGGGTACCGGTCCGAGGTCCAAGAAAGGGCACTGGTTGTATCCTTGCAGATGTTCAATCTGATTTTAGAACGTGGCGTGTCCTTGCTCAAGTCTCAGTTGGACAGCGGCGAAGAGCCGAGGATGGTTGTTAGCGACGACATGCAAGTCCTTTTACCAGCTATCAAGGTATTTCCGTTATCTATGGCATATCTAATGGGCCCCCTATCAAGATCTCTTTTTCCGAGAAACTTTCACCGTACCGGGAAAACCGCGTCATTTTAATTGTGCTGAAGTTAATCGGCTCGAGGATCTTGTCGAACTGCTGCTGTGCCCTATGACGGATGATCCATGTGGTTAGCACTCGCGATTCTTTGTCTCGCTGATATTTTTTCATCGTTATGCAATACAGGGTTGGAAGCAGCGTTTACAAAACAATCGTTTCCTATTATTATTCATTTCATATTACATTGACAAGGTAATCGATACTATGCGAAACATAATTTCCATACAAATACGAAACTTAAATTCATTTACAAATTTATTATCCAAATCCAATGGGAAACTTTTATTATAGCTTCCATTATTACGTTAACAACGAAACAAATATTTCGAATTTAATTAGATTTATAATTAGATTAGATAATCGTTTACTCCACCGCGCTAACATTAATACATAATTCGCAATTCATCGCACAAAGCCACTTCTAAAATACTATTCCCAACACCACAGAGAAATATTCACAGAGAATATACTTAAACACGACCTAAAAAGAAACTGTACTATATACCTCTTAAAAAATACTAATGGTCCTTTACGCCGTAATTCGTGTAGCTCCGTGAAACGCGTTTCAAGGTGGCATTTTCAGGTCGCCCTGTGTGTCCTCGGGCGTCCTGAAAAATTGATCACCGCGACGAAAGGGAATCGTGTCGCGTGAAGGCTTCCAGCGGGGCGGGTCCGCGATATTTCGTTAAACTCGATCGGATTGTCGGAGCGTCGGACGCCTCGTCATCGCCATAATCCCATCGCGCGAGCCCGCTTAACCAGCCGAGAATTTATGAAGCATCGCGCGCGGTTCGCACCCACGCAAAGTACGCCGGTGGCCGTTGTCAGGTCCCAGGCCCTGGTCCGTTCGTGTCTCGACTTATTATGCAACCCCGGCGCGGCGTTCGCGATTAATGCACCTATCGCACGTAAGCTATGCACGCACGCTCTATCGATAAAGGTCAGCCTATGACAAGCTATTGGAACCGCGCGCGCACACCGTCATCGGCTCTTCCTGGTTCGGGATGCCGGGAACCGTCAAGGATGCTCTCGCCTGGCGTTTCGTAACGTTTCAGGGTGGTTTCCAATTGCCTGGCTCGTGTTCAGAGATTGAAAATCTTCCGAGACTAATTGTTTTAAAGCGTTATATATCGGTTCCGACGGAAAGAGTTATGGAGAACCGAAATAGATTTATAACTGTGATTCGGTGTAAGGATGTTATCCTTTGGTTCTTCAGGAACGACGTTACATCGGTTTTCTATCGGTTCTATAAGTGTTGTCCTCTGTATTTTAGAGGAGAAACGGTTTTCAATTTTTCCATGTAAAGTTTGTTGTTTTCTCCATGTTTCGCGAGGGACATTCCGCGAAAAGTGTGATAGGTATCGAAGCGCAACCTGGCGCTAGGAATAATAGTTTTGCTCTCGTCCTGCATAGGACCATTAATATTACTGATAATGTAGACGCGATATAAGACGTCTGGAATACGATTCACTTTCCAAAGATGGATGAACGTTCCCCGCGAGGAATAAAATGTCGCCTAGCCTTTCTATAAATAGGAGGCAATCCTTCATTCCTGGAACTTTTTGTTCTAGATTTGGTGCGATTGGATGCTCTGCCACAGCACCGTTTGGAATCCGCCGCCATCTTGTACGGACTACAGAGTAGGGTAAGCGTTATAATATCGATGTTAAACGTTCTCCGATTTTTTCCATGAGATTCGTACCGACGAGGAAGGAACCAACCATATTGTAACTGCAAGGAATGTTACTTGAAACGTTACCTTTATTTTAAAAAATGCTCAAAATCAAATTATTGAACAAACGCTTCAGCATAAATTTAGTACCAATAATTAACGTCAATTATATTTGCATCTTATTTAAAACACATAAATTTACAGTTGATAGTAATTGTAAAATTTATTTAAAAATTCGTATAAGACCACAGAAAAATTATAATATTTAATCTTATACGATCGAATACATTTCTCGCATCTTAGTATGTTCTTTTTATTAAAAAATCATATCGAGATCAATAATGATAATACTTCTCGCATATTTTTATAAGATCCAGAATCTTTCTAGAGGTAAAAGAAACCTTTCACCGAAGTTCCATTAGAGTAATGTCCTTATGTCATGGAAAAAATAGATATTTTGAATGTTAAAAACTGAAGAGAAAGAGTTTAAAAATATAGAAATTAAGTCTAAACCGACCTACAGTTAGGACATGATGTCTAGTGGAACAGCAGAGATGTTTTTCCAGTTTACAGTTTTATAGTTTCGATTAGATACGCGTAACCGTATTAACGAACAGCAAATCGGTGATCGAAAGTATCATAAATTATGGAACAGAACCAACAGAAAATTAGCCGAGAAAAAATGGAAACTGTTCAATCAACCGAATTCCTCAGGCTGGCCATCAACTGATCTCCTAGCTGTACTTAGTTACTTTCACAATTTAACAGCTAAACGCGTCGGTTGCTCGGAAAGGGTTAAAGGAAGTGTTAAACGTCGCCGCGTTCGATATATCGCGGTCGTTGGGAGATTTTACGGTAATCCGTACGCGCAACCACTAAATCCAAGTAGCTGAAATGAATTTTCCCTGGGCGTCGGTTTTGCGCGCGGTCGCGTATATTAGGATCAGGCAGTTCCACGAGGGAGGGGCGAAAGAATGCTCGATATCTCGAACTCCCGTGATCCTGCGGTTTTGCGGTCTGCGGTCGGAATCTGGCTCTTAACTCCGGCGTCCGGTCGGTAACTGTGCGCGATGCATACGCTTGCCAGCAGATTACGCTACAGCCACAAATTATTCATTGAAAGAAGCTGTTTTTTTTTCTTCCTCTCCCGCTGATAGTTTTGCATCGTTCGACTTCATTCATCATCGGTGCCGGGAATGCGTTTTATCTTCGACGATGATCGATGGTATTCTATCGACAAATTTTGGAACACTTGACGAATAAGAGGCGAAGTTGAACATCGAATTTAGTTATCGAAGATTTTGAATGAATATTCTTAATACATTCAAAGAATTTTCTTCGGTTCATGTCGATTTACGTTTTTGTTGATTTACTTGAGATAACAGGTTACGTATTTATTTTCTGCTACGACGTTCATTCGACAATTATACTAATATAGTACGAAAATGTAGTTAAGTACTTAGTATTTCATTGAAAAGAATAGTATTCATTTACTATCTTTGAAATGCTTCGATTAATAAACTTCGAACACAGTGTAGAATATATCCTCTATTCATCGTGCATCATACAGTTAACATACTTCGATTATCATATACTTGAGACATTTTCTGGAATCATAATAAATTCCGTTACTCCAAAAGTTCCTTCCGTTTCGTTGATACATAATTGATGCACAATCCTTTGTTTACAAATCCTCTACCAAATTAAACATCACGGACAATGCACGAAAAGGTTTCTAGGACGCACATCTAGGATTAATACATCGCGCACCGTACCATCGACAAACGCTTTGAACATCAACCCACATAATCGAAACCCATTCCCAACTAATTACACGCTCAGCCGCGTTCCCACTTCGACAGAGACGCGACAATGCTCGGAGCCCCGATCCCAGGAACAATTAGCCAGTTCCCGTAGAAATTTCGCGTCTTATCGGCTCGATAAATCACGGGGTCGCCGCCGCTGCGAAGACACGGGCCGCGAGTACTTCCACCGCGGGTGATGTCTCTAGCAGCCACTCCGAACTTTCCCGGCCTGAGAAATTGATGCCCGGGCGAGAATTAATAGTCCAACACAACAGTCATAATTCAAAACACCTGAAGTGTCAACCTGAATTAATAGTGGCGCGCAGCTGCGACAGAGAACCGAACGCAACGTGTAACCTCGGTTTTGCGCGAACCTTAGCAACCCCTGCAAACCTTTCACGGCCCCCGAGAGATTAATCGGTTCGACAAAAGCGGTCGTGGATCGCGAAAAACTCGGGATAATTGTCTAGAGAAGGGGATCGTGACCTTGAGATACGTTGTCAAGGTCAGCACTCTGAGTGTACACAGAAAAATATAGTTCGAACTCCTCGTTAAATAACGAGCGAGCCCTGCGCCGAAGATTTTTAGGTTAATTTGAAAATCCGAGAAACTATTTTACTACACTCGATACTTTATCTTCGGAGTGAACGTACATCGACGCGCTTGGTAATAGGAAATCGCTTAATGTTTTCGTTAATTATCGATACTACAAATCCAACTATCACAGTCGATTAAAATTGCATGGGACTTCTATAATTATTTTCTTCCATTAATTTCGTAAGTGCAGCTTTTTACCGAATCGCGAGCCATTACCCGTGATTATTAATCAACTCGCCGTGATCGCCTCAGTTTCAATTACAGATCACCGCTAATTGGAGATTACGGAAGACAATTTGTAATCGGATCGACTGTTACATTTGAATCGCCGTTAGCAACGAATAATCAGATTACGCTTCGCTCCGCTGCGAGATAGCGCCGGTTAGAGGCACCGGCGTCGCTCGCTCGCTCGCTCGCTCGCACGCACGCACGTTCTTCATCAAATTAGAAGCCGTACCCTGCCGATAATTGCGCGGGACGGGCTAGGCGAGGATCGGACGGAGTCGGCCCCGTAGGAATCTCTCGCCGCGAACCTCTGCGTGACTGTAGATCGAGTTTTGATACGATACAGCGGTTGACCGTGACCCGCGTCACACTTCCACCGCCACATCTTCCAGGCAGGCGGCTTTGGTCATCGCACCTCGCGCGAAATTCAGGCTAACCCGTCCGTCCGGCCGTCCGTCCACGCGAATTTCGTGTTGCCCGCTGGTTCCCTCGGACCGATGTTTGTGAAATGGGTCAGGATACTGTTCTGTTCGGCGCGCCGCTGTCGGATTCTTCAGCCTTATTTGAAGATGTAATCAGATGAAGATAGGTTGCGCTCGGATATAGTAACGGGTAATGAATGGTTCATAAACGGGTACGAGATGCGATGCAAGTCCGCGGTACCGATGCAAGTCTGGAATATGAAGTTCAAGTTCAGATGTGGAAGGTCTCTGGAGTAGGAAGTGTGCATTCGAATGCGGAATACACGCGTGGAATGCAAAGTCTGAGTCTAGGATTTAGAGTCCGCGTGCGAGACGAGCCACGGAATGTACTATAAGTCTGAGATATGATAGAAGTTCGATTGAAAATGAGAGTTTGTACGGAAATATCGGGTCTAACGTTGATTTGTTTAAGTAATTAGGTGTTGATACGTTGAGAGATTTTTTAAGGATGTAGTAGTGTCTGTTCTTAGCGTTGAAGTATTATTGGAATGAAACTTGGATTGAACTGATCGGATTGAAATGAGAAATAAAGCTTTGTGTGATTCGGGGTGCAGAGAGCTTTAGGCGGACGAGTTAGAGAATTATGATAATGCGAATTTGCTACGTAAATCGTGAACTGTAATTTGTAGAATATCAAAGAATGGAATATTTTTATTTTATTTCCAACTTCTTCTCCTCCGAAAGATAAATTTCCGTTGCATTGCAAGTTTTGTAAATTAATTTACGCAGATGTGAGTATATATAGTCGTGGTAACAATGAGTGAAGTCATAATGAAGTCTGCTTTCGACGAAAAGAATCCTTGAACCCGTATTTCAGAGTCAGTTTCGGAAACAGGCTGCCTATTGCAAGGATCTCCCTGAAAAGATCTCCGCAGTTCGAGAGTATGACTGTAAAAAACGATATTACATAAGCAATAATTCCTTGTACATCTTGTATTACTTTTCCCGACAAAAAATTCCGGCCAATAAATTTGTTATTGCTCCATGAAACAGGTATCATTAAGAAAATAGCGGATTACTAACTGGTACACTTAATAAATAATAAAGATAGAAGTGAATAGTTCGAAACGGAAGAATCCAACAGGGGAGGAATGCTCGCGCGCGTTCTCGCAGCATCGTCCGATCCACGCGTTGAAGTCACCGGCTCACGAACCTGTTCCGTTCTCGAAACGTCGAGAGCGTGGGAGTGACTCATCGAAATAAAAGCATCCGGTCGTGGTGCGCGACGGCGATGCAAAACCACAGGGACGCTCGAGGAATGGTCGATCAACGTGTAATTATCTTCTTACGGTCTTCCCGATGATTGACAAAGGAGCCGTGGCCGCGGGAATCGCTGGAAATGATCGACTGGTCTCGCTAACGACGCTCGAAAACGGAGAAACGAGACTCCTTTAGGGACGTGCGCGTCGAATAAAAGAAGTCCGAGTCATTCACGGACACGGAAGTCCAAAGCGAGATCGTGAAAAATTGTGGAAGACCAATTTCAGTCGGTAAGCTGAAGTATAAATCTCGGATACACCGAACACCGGGTGCAGTTCAGCGCAAAGGAGTTTATCTTCAAAAATTATCCCCCGATACGATCGACACTTCCAAAATAATGAAACCGACTGAAGTTGCAACTTCGACTTTTAAGAATTTATAATAATCTCCAAACTATGAGACACCTTCGGAAGCGGACTACGGTTATTTCCATCGAGCTTCGCCATTTAATTAAGCTAATGTACGCGCAATCTAGATGAAATCTTCGGACCGTACCTAAGCTCTTCCGATCCGACGGAAGAAAAATAGACGGACAGAAACTAAACAATGGCTGCCCCGAGAAACGCGCGTATTTTCGTCGTATATCCGAGCGGAAGATCGAAGACAACGGATTTTTCACGGGGAACCATCCCCCGCCGGCGGCGCGCCTCGGGCGACCGAATATCGACCCGCTGGATCTTTCTAACGAGACGGCGGAAAAAAGACGGGTAAGAAGCCTCTCGAAAAAGAGAGAAAATAGTCACGGTTGCCCGACTGATGCAATCTATCGTCCATTAAACGAGTTTCAAGGCCCCTTTGGTCCCGTAACTGCGAGAACGAGCGCGATCGAACACCTCTTTGCGCAACAAGCAGCCTCTCCGAGAGGTGCCCCTATCCGGCTGGATGAGTTAATTATTGTTGCTTCGTTAGCGATTAACAATTATGCGAGCGTTTCCTTGGCAAGGACGCGGCGAGCGACGCCGCCTCGCCCCGCTCGACGCGAATAGAACAGTCTTTATTTATAGAAGACGCCAGTCGTCGATTAATCTGCCGTCGATCGCGAATTCTTCGATCGCCACGGACTCCCCCCCTCCAGCACTCCCCTTGTCCACGAGCATTTTTATCGGTGCGAGGATAGCCGCTTCGCGTTCTATCAAGCGCGCTCGTGCCCGGGACCGTATAATTGCGATCAATCAATCAATCACCTCCGGTGGATTGTCTTTTTATGCGTTTCTTTTCCGTTGTATCCGCTGCCGAGCCTACGGAGCGAGTCTAGATGCCGCTGTCGTTCATTACTCGACGCGATTCCTTTTTCTAATTGGCGTGAATGATCGCTGTACCTGCTTCGTCACATTTTTCTGCTTTCTACGAGCAGCTTTGTCGTCTTGCCTCTTCGCGATCTGAATCGTTGTGCTCAGTTATGGTGTTGCGTTTTTGGACTTTTTATGAATATAATGCGTGACAGTCATTAAGGGATGTAATAGTTTTCAGGAAAATGGTTAATAGTTACGGGTATCACGTGTGTATGTTCAAATCTCGTTGTACGTAGTGCCGTCATTTACGAGACTACTCGATAGTTTAGATTTTTCGTTTTAAATGGTATTTATGTCTCTTAGTAATAGCACATTTTTTCGTATTCCTCTATTACCTCTATAATTAAAAGCAGCACCGATGAAGAACTAACTCCCGCTAGTTCCCTATGATTAACAAACGATAAACGAATAAAAACGTATTCCTTAAAAATGTGTACCGCACGCTGCAGTCGAAGTCTTCAGAAGTAAATGCATATTGCGCTGAAATAATTGCGTGTAATGATAGGCCACGAAAATATTTATTAGGGCGCGCTCCAAAAATAACCTTCCGCGGCGGGACCGTAACGGATATTCCGAGTTGCCGGAAAAAAACTCCGCTGCGTCGGCGCGACTCGCATTCTCAGGGCATAAAGAAAGAAATGGCTCTGCTCATGAACCGTATAATACAGTGTCCCATTAGCATTATTCAATTATTATTTATTAACTCTCACGCCGTTCGCGGCAGATAATTACTTACGGTCCCTAAACGAGTCTAAAATGAACGCGTTCCGCCGGGACGGTCCCCGTAAGTTTTCAATAAGGCGTCAGAACGACCGGCAATAATTTACCCATAAAGGGTCCCCGCCGATTAAATGAATGGGAACCGCGGAGTGCGGCCGCCGCAATTAACGAATGACCTTTCATGACAGGGATCGATTAATCCCGGCTGGAGATGCATCGTGCGTTCCCTTTTCGTTTCTTTTCTCCTTTGTAATCTTCCTTCGATCGTCGCCGCAGGAAGAATGGCGAGTGATAAGGATTAACGCTTCGAGCGGCATTCAACTACAAACATATCAAAATATAAAACTACGATACACATAAATATAATCTTAATTTTTCGAATAAAACAAATTCGATGTGTTCCAAAAATATTATTCAACGATATGCAACTGTACAATTTTGTTAAATATCACTTAGTTAGCCGGACGTTTAATAATCGATAGAATTTTATTATTTTATTTGTTTCATAATTGACACGGTTCTCTGTGTGAACTTAAAAATGAATTTTCTTAGTGTCACATCGAACACACCGAAATTTATCGGATCCACGAGACGCAAGGTCAGTAATCATGAAAAACATTGGTTTTCTGGTCACCCTTTGTCAAGGTTGATCACAGAGAAATAATAAGGATTCGCAGGTTTCATTTATTTGTGCTACTTCGTTGCTTCTATCGCTTATATTCTTCATCGCCGCCTGCGGAGCCGCGAATCGTGTTCGCATTCCCTCGCCGGCGTGCACCGACGATACACCGTCGAATGATCGATAGCTCGGAAAGTGATCCCACGCGCGCGCGCTGCCATTCATCGCGCTGGAAATAATTAAACGGACGACTTCGGATTTACAGTAATACGGAAGTGGACGAACGCGCGCGCGCGAGCAGGCATACGCTGAACCGTGTCGCCCCGTGCACGCGACGCGCCGACGGTGCCGATTTCACGGGGATCGAACGAACCGCTGACGTTCGTTACCAACGGCCGTATTTAGGCCAGCGATTGAAAACGTTCCGAAAATAACTGTTTGAAACTGTTTTATATGGGTTGCGACTGAAACGGTTATGGCGACCGAGATAAAGTCACAACCGCTGTTAAATATCGGTTTCGGATATTTTATCGGTCCTATTTCGGCTCTGTAACATCTATGACGATTTGTGCTTCAAAAATGAATAATTCGCGCATAAGTATTGCAACATTAGAATTAGAAGTAACAAATAGAATTCGAATAAACAGAAACATTTTAGTTGGTAACGTTAACCCTCTGCATTTGGAAGTTTCTCACTAGAAATGTTCAACATTTTTTGACGAAGCGAAGACGATATTCCTTGAAACTAACTCGAAGGGAAATTACAAGTACATTCAGGAACAAAGTTATTTTATTCCAATAGTTCACTTATCAAGGCATTGTAAAGTTCAACATTAAATATCAGATTTTATAGTTTTACCGCGTTAAATGAAGTGGTGACTTAGAGTCATCTCCCGAGTGCAAAGGGTTAATTATGTTCGGTTTGTAGGAATAAAATTTCTGTTCGCGCGTTTTAGGTTGTAGAATTGGTGCGATATGAGTCGATGACTTACTGGTTGGGATTGAGGAATTTGAGAGGGAATAGGGAAGCGATTTGATATAACATAAATTTTATATAATATAAAGTAGGATAGTGTCGTTTGAAGTTTGACAGTCACTTATGAGAACGAAAGGAATCATTAAAATGTTGTTGTTTTTGTTTATAGGGTCCAATTTTTAAAAGCCCCAAAAAACTGTTGGAAATACAATATGAAGTAATTAAAAAGTTTAAGTAAAAAATCCAAATGTGACTCAAAGTCATATCGTGGTTCGATTAGGGTTAAATCTAGTTTAATTAGTTCAATTTAATAAACGTTCAGTGTTATAATACGGTTCTCTATCGTCTGAAATATTGAATTCCCTCTGTGAGTTTTCTCTGGCTAATCCATTCATTCACCTCACTGAAGCAAAGAACAATATTTATTACGCGATGGAAGAATCGTTCGCGGTTGGCTCCTTCCGGTTTCTGATTACGCGATCACAGTTGATAGTTGAATGCCTGAAACGACGGGAATTCGATTCGTTTCGCGGAGATAATGTCGGTTTTCGTTTGCAGCCCCCCCGGAGACGCCTGGAGCAGGCTTGCTACAATGGTGAACCTGCTGGAAAAGTTGAATTATTCCAGATCGATCTTGATCCAGGCCAAGGACGCGGAGAGTCGCGAGGACGGTGAGTTTTTCATACAGTCGCATCCCTTATGCTCGAATACTATTATTATCGTTTAACCATTGTTATAATCGTTTTATCAATATTTAACACTGAAACCACACAGTAATTAGAGTGACTTATTTCGAATTTCTATAAAAATTAGAACAATACGTTTCTTGAGATTCGAAGGTTGTCGTAGGCTTGTGTCTGTGCAAATACACGAATTTAATTGGGTATCTTTCGGAAAAACGCTTCCATAATTTAAATACTGGAAAAATAAAAATTCTGAAATGTTTGCAATTCCAGTTTACTCTAAAAGTAGTTTCTAAGATAGACAAAAGTCATTCCACGCTTTCATGCATAATACTTTCACACATGACGACCCCTTTCCAAAAAAGTGATTAATCGATGAAGAAACCCATTTTTTAAGGTCGAAAACTTATGCATCATACTTTCTTATATCTTCTCCTTGTTCTACAACATTTTGGTTTTGATTTGAAAGAAGTTTCATCGCTCTATCTTAACTCTTTCCGCATCGAAGGTTCCTCGTTAGAAATATTCCACATTTTCCGATGAGCCGTAGACGATATTTCTTAAAACTAACTTAACGATCAACTTCACGAGCCACAGAGAAACGGGATTTATTTGCACGAAATTTGTATTTTTCAAAAGAAAATCATTTTGTCTTATTAGGAGTACTTACCAGTAGGTTTACGGAGATTTATTGTACAATTTATTCTATTGGCTTTAGAAAAATTGATATTCACTCATTTAGATTTTGGAAATTGAAGGTCTAAAGACAATTAAAGTACACATTTTTGTTATTGTATCAATAAAAAACGACGGAAACATTTTCTAAATAATATTCATAAAATTCGATATGCGTCAAATTGACGCGTTTCGTGAACCTGGTGTTAACTCTTTGCAGTCGAGAGGTGACTCTCAGTTACCATTCGATTCGATATAACAAAATTACAAAGTGTTATATATAATATTGAGTTCCATATAATGCATCAACATGCGAAATATTTCTATAAAATAGCTTTGTCTCTTAATTTACGTATGTTTTCTCATTAGTTCGTTTCAAATAGTGTCATCTACGTCTCGTAGGAAAGTGTCGAATGTTTCTAGCGAAAAGCTTCCGAGTGTAAAGGGTTAACAGCATAATGGTAACTTTCAATTTTCGTTATGCGAATCATCGAATTCGAAGTTTTTGTCCATGGGCGGCCGCACTTCGCCGTCACAAGACGCCGTCGCCTCTTCTTACATTCGAGATTCCTCGATCTTAATGAGACGTTCGGCCGGGGTTTACTGTAACTGCGTAATGACATGGCCGCCGGGGGCATTTTAAATACTGGGTGGGTCGGCCGATGGGAATCCGAGGTGAACCGGGGTTCAATGGCATTTTATTCACGTTCGCGGGGCAAAGGGGACTGAGTGGTTCCGATCGGAATCGGGTCAGAGGATCATTCCGCGATAAAGGTTGCTTGGATTTTGTTTACCCCGCACAGCGTAGTCCGTATACAAGGAGAACAAGGATTAGCGTAGATCGTGTATCAGACTGACGATAATTAGCGTGGGTCGTTTGTAAGATCAATAACGATTAGCGTAGATTCTACGCAAATTGGAATATGCGAGGTATGCGGTAAGTTTGCAAAACGAAAGTTCGAATGAAGTTTGATTTCACCGGCGTCTCGTTTACGAACTGCTGGAATGTATGAAACCGAGAAGCAGTAGGTCACAGTTGCGGGACGAAGGTTCAATTCATAAACAGCGAATCTGGCAGCAGTCGAGTCGACAAATAACCATCAATAATACATTATTTCCTACAAAGCTTCATTCGTCACTCCCAAAAAACGTGAACATTCTAGACCTAACTTCGAATCCACCGACGAACCCTGCACAAACTAAATCGAACTCCTCCCAATTCCCTCAAACCCACAAACACGTCCTCACGAATCCTCTACAATGGCGAACATACAAAACGCCATTCAACGAATTTTCAATCCCGTTCCTCGACGTCGATCGCCCCGCCGCGACAACGAAACGCTGGGCCCCGAGTAATAGTGTCACCGTAATAATTCTCGATCAAACAATACCGTCGCGGACGTTAATTACAAGCTGTCCGGCAGCCGGCTGCCGTAATTCCTGAGCAAATATCCCAGGCAGCCGGGGCAGCGCGCGACGATCCCCCGCGATAAACAGCCTCTCGGGATATATCCACCTCTCTCCCTCCCCTCCCTCCGTCCCGCCGCCTCTCCCCTCGCCCCACCTGGACCCTGGACCAGTCCTCAATCGAAAAACTTAAGTTCTTCGAACGGTGAAGCCTCTGCCCGTCTGTTGACCCGTGGATAGCCGCCGGTTACGTAACGGTGAATCCGTTCGATGTGACCACTGGCAGTGCCATACGCTCGCCGGGGCCCGTTTACAAGTCGCCAGCCAATGGTCTCTCGGCGTGCACCATGAGCCACGCCGCTCCGCGCGGCCCGCGCTACTGTGCCCTCTGCACTCGATCTCTTTGTCCCTTTCTGCATGCATCTTATGAATACCTGAAGATCCGGCCGGCCCGCTGTTTCTACGCTCTAGGCTCATTTGCGCGACCCGCGGCGATTCGGCGATTGTTGCGATGCGGGCCTCGTTGTGGGTGTTTCGCAGAGGATTGAGTAGTTTTGGCGGTGTTCGTTGCGACTGATCGGGGAGGGTTGTTTATATGGCAAGGAAAAGAGTGGGATTGTTCGGTGAGAGACGTTTCGGAGGTTTTTGTGGGAGCGTGGGGGATGTATTGGACTTTTGTCTGGTGCTGAAGGTAGTTTGCACTGATGTACGATTGCGAAGGTGTGAATGATTGGGATTTGGTTATTTGATTGTGAATTTAGACCATTTGTGGGTGTTTTTGATGGAATTTTTGTATTTCTAATGGGAGTTTGGAGAAAGAGTTACTGCTTGCTGGAAAGGACAAACGAGATACGTTAACTGATGCGTCCATTCTGGAGTGTTCATTCACTTTTTCTCAATAAGGAATGTAAGCTCCGGGTGATCAATTATTTTGGTATAAGATCGCATGCGTCTGATTGCCGGAGTGGATTGAATAAATTACTACTTTTTCTTATCGTGTGCAAAGAGAAAGGACTGATTGCGGAACGCGATGATCTAGAATAGGAGTTTGTCCTTGCTCGGATCGGCGCTACACCCGTGTTCAAAAAAGACCAGTCGCGATTTAATGGATCAACAACGGTCGGTCTTGTATCATCGACATATTAAATGATGAATCATGTACTGTTATCGTGTACAAACCTGTCTGAAATGTAAGTATAACAAGATCAAGGACGCGGCTCGTAACTAGAACGGGCATTGCCAGTTGCGCGGATCCGTTAGGATAGATCTAGTTCTGGTCAAAGGACTCGGTGACACGTATAGTACTACTCTAATAAAAGAACGTTCACAATATCATCGTTTCGTGTTTACTCGCTCGTCTTCTCTTTCTAGTAGAAAAGTTTTTAATCTCTACCTTACTGTGAATTGATCTTTACATCGATCACATATTAATGTTCTTTGATTCTCTGAAACTTTAGTAACACAAATCATAATTTTCATAAATATTGTTCGAATTCTTAACTCTTCGAATGATCAGCTATCGATTTTCAATCTACGTTCATTACAATTATTTTGTATGATACTATTAATAGCATCATTAAACTGAAACGTTGATTACAAAGTTCAATTAGATCGATAACAAAATAATGGACAGAATAGAAATAATTATCCGAGTCCTCTATATTTCTAATGGTTCGTTTCGATATTAATCTTCCAAAATGAAAAATCCCCATCTCCGTATTCACTGCGAATTGAATTCTTACCAGAACAATTCCGCTGTTCTACTGGCGAGTCGAGTAAAACGAAAAGCGACGAAATAAAATGAAAAGGAGAGGGACGAATGAAAAAGGTATCGAAATGCTAAGCAGCAGGAATGTCCTGCACGGAACGATCGTGCGCACGCGAGAACGCAGCGAGCGCGATACGGTTCGAAAAAGGAACCGAGACAGTAACGGTACCTCCAGGCTAACGTGTGCCGTAACGCCAATTTGTTGACTCCGACGGTTCATGCGTTTGGTACTCCGTCCTGTTCTCCTTCTACCCGCCGATTTACCTTACGCACGCGCGGGAACGCGTTGCATTTCCAGACACAATGGTAAATTGAACAAAAGGGCACCGGGGAACACCGTTGAACGTGCCCGAGCAACAATCTTTTATTGTGTCGATCGGCAACCGTTTCTTTCGATTCTCGTGTTCGTCCCTGCCTCTCTCTTACGATGGGCCATTTTTACCGAACGCCTCGGTTCAATTGGTTTCGAACGATCGAAGATCGAGGTTGTCGAAGCAGAAAATAATACAATATTCTTTCATTTAGTTGTTGAACCCAATTTAATGGTACATGTATACCTGCAGCTGTGTTTGTTTCCTAATAACACTCTTTTCAAATGATAATAATATTTCTTTTAATCATTATCATCGTGCTTACGTTCTACCGTGTTCTAGTAGGCGGAGAGATAAGAAAGATATCGAAGTATTTTTCATTGTACCGTCGTGAATAATCGAAATTTTGTATTTTGATAATCTATTTTTGAATGCTATATTAGTGTTTGGAAATAAAAGTGAAGAATCTTTCAGTCTTTCAGTTTTCTTGTCTTAACATTTACTGGTACTTTCAAAGAATCATTGATTCTTTCAATGTTCGATAGATTTCTAGCTTAAGGAATAAACGGAGATTCATTGAAGATGTTTAATGAGATCAAAGAATTGCAATGTTTGAATCGTTTTCTTAAATAGTAGACGATCTAAGGAGATTCCCGTTTACTTTCGTGTGTATAGAAGAGAAACACGAACAGAGCGAGCCGACAGTGCGAAAGTGGAAATCTTATTACGACGTGTATATTCTCGAGCATGATGGTTCATTACCTCGGACGTTCATGAAAAATATACTCGGAGTCCGAGTATAATACAAATACCTTGATTTATTCTTCCAATTGTAAATAAAGCCCCGGAGGAACCGAAGCCACGGCTATCCTTGTTAGCCGGGATTAGAATCGAAGAGGGAACGATCCTGTTGCCCCGTCTACCGATTTCAAATCTGTGTCGGCGACCGACCGCCATTAATATTCGCGAGAGTTGCGCGAATCGCTTTACAACACCAGGATACATTTATCGCGAATATTACACGAAGTTCAGGGTCAGTACGGCCCGAGAACTCGCGTGGAACGCGAGGAGGGTCGGGTTAGGCTACGTATCGACTTGAGAGTCTGGTTACAAAGAATCGTTATTGGCCACATAGGCATTTATGTACATACACTGACAGATTATCGATTCAACAGTCGTTGCTCATATCATCGTGAAGCTAACAGTGTTGTTTTTAATAAAGTACACGTACATTCTGACTTTTAAATAAGCTTTTCAACTTATTCTCAATAACACCTTCAGTTAGTTGTAAATTTTAGTGTACTGAATATAAAGTTTCTTTTTCTCTTTCGCGTGTGATTATCGTAGAAATCAATTTGAAAACATTGTAACTATGCATTGTTGTTAATATTTGACATATCGTGGTACCAGCAAATACGTATTCTTGTTAAATGAATTATTCAAGAATTGTATGGGAGAGAAGGGGAAGATTTGCTGATTCAAAATTGAGGAACGAAGTTCTGTAAGAAGTGTTTATATCGGTTTCGTAAATCGAACAGAAAATTTACGTTACTCGTACAGTGTGTGTATCTTGCTTTCAAGAAAATGCAAGTACTTTCTAGGATCATACTGATGGGAATGTCTGGCATCGTTTTCTGAAATTACTTTCACGTGTATGTGTGTAATGTAATTCTCTAGACTGAGTTTCGTGTGGTATGGTGGTTAACTCGTGTGAATCGCTCTCATACGGGTACTTAGCATAAATCACACTGGAATTCTGGAATGGCAAGTGTACACGTAGCACAGTCGACTTTTTTTGAAGTTAAATTAAACAACTTCACCTTCGACGATCCTCTGAATCTGAAAAATGTTTAACCACTTGTTCTGCGATCGCGAAGCTCGGCTTCCTCGGGAAAACGAGATGCAAATGAGTACTTGAGATTTTTTATTGTTAATGTTCAAACGCGCACACATATAAATAGTGATGTCACTGTCATAGTACAGTGGAATACGCAGACTTCTATTTTCATTTCTTCTGTAAACTTCAAACACCACCAGTGAATCAACATTTTCAGTAGATCTATACTTGTGTTCCAACATTTCACATTTCGTAATTCAATTTTATATTACATTTTATATTACTTCAAAATATTTCCACTGAAATGATACCATATTACTCAAGTACCCTTGGATACTTCACAAAATATTCTCAGTTCACCCAAAAATTTCTACCTTCCAGAAACTCAATACTAAATACCTTAAATACCTTAAATATTCAATAACTAACCATCCAACGTACATCACAACTTCTTCCATTCGCTCATTCACGTTTCGATGCACCTTCCCACGCTCCTTTACCCAAGTGCAGGCTACATAAAAAACAACGCTCGCCCTCCGTAAGATCTCGCTACGAGACAGTATTTAATTATTTTCACTGACATTTGGTCCATCCTTCGCGCAAGTATCTTCATCCAGTAAGCATTTAGTACCCTTCCTCGAGATTCGCGCGACGCAAACGAGGTAAAACCGTGGGACACGCGACTAAGCTCTCGGGATCGTCTCGCGCGTGTACACGTAGCATTAGCATCGGGGGGATCAGCTGCCCGAGGTCCGCGATTGATCATCCCGCAGGACTTCGCGCCGTGGGGCAGATTAAGAGTCCCGGTTCGCGGCCGAAAGAAATATAGAAACTTAATCGCGCTCTCTATTTCGCATGCACGTGTTGTTAATGCGAATTCCAAATCGGTGTCGTGGCGGCGATCGCGTTAACCGGCGTCGGTTAACGACGCGATGCCGGATCGGCCGGCGCTGCTCGTGACGCTGCGATACCCGAGATCCTTGCCCGCGGTCACGTAATCCTGCTTCTTTTAATAGTCCTTGCATTAACTATCGATTAAACATTACAGAGCAAATATTAGCTCTCCGCGAAGAGTACGAAAAAAACGGGGGAAAAGAATCGCGCACGGTGGATCGTAAACCTGCTCCCGCGAGGATATTCAGCGGAGTTTACGAGCATCGTCATTATTTGGACCGTTCATTATGAAAGTGGTGTATGTCCAGCCCCTTTTTTCTCCTTTCCGTGGCCAGATATTTAAAGGGTTGCGGTTTAATCGATTTCAAAATACCGGGGACGCGTATCGAGTTTGTCCGCGCTCCTATGAATTTAAATGTGCATTAACTTACCGTACGTTGAATTAAACGAACGTTATCCTGTCCTTTCGTTTAAACCGTGTACGAACTTGTATTGTTAATGAATAATTATTCCGGTCTACGTGTCAGTTTCTCGTTTGCTGGACTTGGAGATTTTAAAACAGTGGAATTTTCTTGAATATTTCGCTCGTGTCGCTTTTATTGTAAATGGTTTACTTTATTGCACTCAGTGAATCTTGTTTGATATATCGATAATATTAACGGTACTGCTGATATCATCTTCGTATCATTTATAACTGTGAAGATGTTCCCTTGAGACTTTTATTCCTTGCCCTCGTTGATTTTTCTTTATGCTCGCTGTTCATTTATTTGACATGTTCGCGTGATCAGTGTCTGCGGTCACTGTCGAGCGACGCTCTTTGTCAGCGAAGCTCATCGATCTTGCAACAATGTCATCCGACAAACTGAAATGTCGTTGATTCTCGTTTATCCGTTCCCGAGGCCGGGACTAACCGGAACGCCCTGCCACTCCCCGGTAGTTGTTGCTGAATGTTCATCGTCGTTGCATTCGGTTTCGCATTTGCATGATAACAGGCCGCGTGTATCATTACCTGTTGCTTCGATTTGTCACCACCGCATTATTCTCGAAAGAGTATTTGTAACCGTCCGTTCACGTCCGATGTAAAAAGTTTAAACATCGGATTCCGAGTACGAACTTGCACATAGTTGCAGCTGTGATTGATAGCGTATCAAATTCATTTATAACGTGTTACGTTTAACGCAGAAGCGTTCGTGTAAATAAATAAAATTGTCGAAGAGTAACGAGGATGACGAAATAGGAACAACAGGAGAGCGCAGGAACGTACTTTATTCTCTAGAAGTTTAGAATTATTTTGAAAATTGCAGTTATACTTTATTATCACGTTTCGCTGCGTTCATTCATGAAAGATGAGGTCTGAAAGTTTTTGTGGACGTTTCTTGCAGAACTCGAATTGGTTAAATTACCGGAAGACACGACTTTGGCAGGATTTACGCCGCTAATGTCGAATCCTCAGGATCCCTGCTACGCCGAGAAGACCGAGGACATGGTAAACATATCGCTCTTCATTTGAATTTTCTTTTTAGCACTATTTCTACTGAAGATGTCAACAGACACCTTTCGAATTTTCAACTTAAAATTGTTTTTCAAGCGTAGTCGAATATTCTGAATTGACTTTTCAAAATTTAATTGAGGGAAAATGATTAAACCAAGAGAATAATTTTACATTACAATTTCGAAAGGTGTCTTTTGACACCTTCGGTAGAAATAGTGTTAATCATATACTTTTATTCATTGAAAAGATTAGTTCTTTAAATAATGTATTGATCTATTTTGAAGATCGAATCAGTTCCATTATTGTTATTCGTTGGTTGTAAAATATGATCAATTAATTTTGTATATATGAGGATTCGGTAGTTGAAATAGTCTTTCTATTTGACGCTGCAAGCGTTCGGTACAAATGCTGAATCATAGTTGAAATTTTAATAACACCGTATATTTATGTATTCATGATGTATTCCAGGAAACAGCGCAAGTGTGTCTCAGGATAAACAAGATTTTGTTCTTCGGGCAAGTTTACCTGTGCGGACTCGAGACGCCGGTGTTGAAATTACAGAAGAGCGAGAACGGCGACAGTGAATATGTCTCCGTGGTGGAAGCCTCGAGCACGAGCACCCCTAGCTCACCCCCGGAACAGGTAACCAAATTAACTCGTTCGAACAACTTACACAAAGTAAACGACAAATTGAAAAAAAAGACTCATTTGCTTAAGAAACTTTAGAAGAATTCTATAATCTTTACAGAACGTCTAATCGTATTTACCATTTATTTAGTAGATGTATCATTGATTCAGTTCAGTTTGTTTATAATTATAAATTCGTAAATCTAAGTTTCAAATTTAGAATGAAACGTTACCAAAAAGTTCCAAAATTCATGAAACAAAATAGTTTCACGTAAGAAGGGAATATTCAGTCGAAAACGAGCAAGAGGTTTATAGTACAAATAAATATTAAGGGAAACGCGTATTATCGACTGTAAATAATCCAATCACTAATTACAAGTTTAATTAATATTAATGTCTAGTACAGAGTTATCGAGAGAACGATTCTCGAATTATCGAGTTTACCGGTCATAAGGTAACTATGATGGATGCTAAATGAAGATAAACTTTATTTTGAGTATTCGAGTGGGACTTACGCGTCCCAGTGGTCATGAAGAGTTGGAAACTATATATCGGAATTAGGGGTAACGAGGTCGAAACGAATCGAATTGTTTCTAAATACTGTTAGGACGTTCGAATGACTTTTCGCGGCGTCGGGGTAATTGGTTCAAACGAAACTCTAACTCACTTTGCAGAGCGACTCGGAGCTTCTGGTGGAAAGTTACAGCGAGGGTGAAGACGAGCCAGTGTCATCCACCCTGAGGAGATTACCTTCCTGTTCGGATGTACCTGACGATGGCACCACGCCGGTCAACGTGGTCGAAATAAGGTCGCTGATCGAGAGGAAAGAGGAACTGGAGAGACGCCAGCGGAAGCAGGATCGTCATCGGCAACGGGTACAGGTCAGTACCGACTAATCATTATATTGCGAATGCTCATGAATTCACGACAAATTTGAAAGTGAAAAATTGCAGAGATACACACTTGATGATGTTTATTCATCGTAATTTCATTTATCCAATTATACTCTAAAAACTCTGGACTTGCGAAAGAAAAGTATAATGATCATTATCGTACAATTTTGAACTAATTCGTGTAATTTTCAAATTTAATTTCTATAAATGATTATACTTTTTCTAAATTTCTGCAAATCTCTTATATTCGCATAATATACCGATCACTCCTCTATTTCCGTTGAAATCGAAGCGAATAGACGATAAAAATAATTCGTTTCGTCGGTACGACGTACAGCCCACAATTCACGAATTTGCCGAGTCTCACCCGTTGCAGCCGGTCGCTCGCAGATTTTATTCGACTGCGAAGGGATTATCTGGAAGTTTCGAGTTCCCTGCAGTTCCCTCGTTTCCCCGGGCTGTCGCGCCCCGTTCGCAAGGGTCTCGCCGACCGGTCGACCGTAAAACAGAATCGACACTTCCGAATTTAACCTGGCGCGGCTCGAATTTTCTATAAATAGAAACGTCAGTCCGATATCGCGGCTCAATGATTCTCCGACCCGAGATATCCTGACGACCGTTTCCTCGGGCTCTTCCTTTATCTTCATCGTCCCTCCACGGTCCGCCCGGAACGCCGACAAAATGGTCGTCCGAGCAAGAGACAAAGAAAACGAAAACTTCGAAGGACTAAAAAAAAATCGGGAACGACGAGACACGCTAGTAACGCTAAGTCGAACTAAATCAAGAGATTACCAGGACACATCGGTGCGTACTGTTGCACCTTTCGCACCCTTTTTTACATCCCTTTCTGTTCTTTTGCGTCTCGCCCCTTTTCTTCGCGCCCCGCTCGTCCCGTTCATCGTCCTTTTATTTTTCGGGGGTCCCGGATCCTTCGGCGACGCGGCACGCAAGCGGGCCGTTTTTATTTACGGCATCGGCGATCCTCCTTTTTGCATATTTATTATCGAACCTCAGGCCTGGGCCGGATTTTGTGCCTACTATGTGGCCCGGGGGCCCTCCATCTTCACGCCCCCGCCTCGCGAAGGGATATTTTTCTCTCAAATGAGCCGCGCGACAAAGAAAAAAACTTGCCTGCCTCTGCCGGCGCGGAGGATCTTGTTTTCCCCCTTTTTTCGCCTCTCGTTTGGGGTGTCGTTTTGGATACGATGGAACACTCTGATGGATATTTGGTATTTCTGGTACTGATCTCTGGCTTGGCGTGAATGTGCTTTCCGATTGTAAATTCGGGAGGTGTGCATATTTTATCGCACTCCTTTCATAAATGTATAATATACACTCAGATTATTCAAATATGCAGCGATCGTTTGAGGCAAAGCTTTTATAAAACATATGATTGTTCGTTCAAGCTTCTCTCTGTCAACTAGAATAACTAGTACCAACATCGAAGTAATTTTATCCTCGTAGACCTCCAATTTTTCCATAACACTTATCTCAATACCGAATCCCTTAACATCCCAATTTTTCCATAATCTTCATCTCAAACTCCGCTCTTTAAATACTGCGACATCGCATTTACCGCAATCTCCTTTCGTTAGAATTTCTCGACCTCCTAATTCTTTGTCCTATCCCGAAACTCCTGGCCTGACACAAAAATCCGACGTCCGAGTTTAGTTTCCCTTGTCGCCGAATCGTCTTGAGAGTTCACCGTTCCTCGTTTCTTCATCGGTATCATTCGGATTATCCTCTCGTTCCACTTAGTTCTCGTTTCAGCGAAAGGGGGAGACCGAATAAATTCGCCTGTATCTGCTGAATTTTCGGCGAGAGACGGCTTTATCAGAGGGCAGGAGAAGGTTCCGTCGGATAGGGTGCGCGGGAACGGTGGAGTGGGAGACGGGAACACGGAATATCATCCCGGGTATAAAGTTACCCCGTCGGACGTGGCACGATAGAGGGTCGGCTGACAAGTGTGCCGTGTTACCCTGCCGAAATAAAGGATACTTTTGATATCCTGCCGCTAACACGGGCCCGGTAGTCCGTGTTCGATCGGCTCGGGACGCCATTGTATCGCTGCTCGTTCTTCTTTTCTGCGGTCCCCCATACCCGCTCCTCTTTTCCCGCGGCGAGATGTTCTTCGCTTTTTATGAACCTTGATAAACCAACGTCCACCTTGTACCGTGATATCGACTCCGCCGGCTGCAGAGGCGATGTTCACGGATGAAATTCCCTCCTAACGATCCGAGTAACTTAACACTTGGGGGATGAGGGTTGATCCGGGATTTTCGTGTTCGCCGGTGTGCGGAACGTTCCGGACGGAATATTCCGTTGTTACTTCAATGTTTCGAGGGTGAGGATGAATTTCACGTAATGTTCGGTAATGTACTTCTTTCCGGGAAATTGGAGAAGTAACTGTTTCATACTGAATATAATATTACGCCAATTTCGAGAGTACGGATGAGCTTTAGGTAATTCTAACACATTTCTCCTGCGAAATCGGTGAAGTTATGGTATAGTACTTTGCGATACAGTTTTTAATCTATTTCAATGGAAGAGCGTGTTAGTGAGCTACTGAATAATATCTGTAACGTAGTAGTTTTGGACTAATCAAGGCACACGAGTAGATGTTTCCAATTTAATTATAAGTTAAACCGTTCTATTACTACTCGTACTGTAGATGTAGAATTCTTTTAACACATTGCGTACTGGTAACGAGAAATATCGTTTTTATATAAACACTCTTAGCTATATAACTTTGATAATTACCACAGCATTTAAGGAAATATTAAATTTCCGCACAATTTAATTTTCTGATAATTAGCCGGTGCGCAATGTGTTAAGATCATATTTCTTCCAGTTAGCAATCGCACAGAGAGATTCTATTTCCCCCGAAGCACGGGTATAAAAATATAATGAACAGGCTAAATGTCAGCGAACCGTAGCGTCTAGAAATGAAAGACACGCGATCCGCGGCGCGACGCGACGCGTAGCGTACGCAGACATCACGGGACTCGTTCACCGTGACCGTCACCTAGATTTCCCCTTCAATCCCAGCCGCGCCGAAACGATCGATAAATCACACCGAGCGTGGTTCTAGTTCAAGTCCGCGGTTGCCCGTTATCCCGTCGGAAAACGGTCTGCGAAAACGCTCGCCTAACTGTACAAAAAAATTAATGACGCTTCCGGGAACAATTGACCCGTCGTTCTCCTCTCGCTCCAGTTTAATTTTCGTCGCGACACGAAAACGGTACCTGCTTCCTCGCGGAATTCGCACGAATTCCGCCGTGTAACCACATCCCGCCGCGAATTCTCGCGGTCGCCGGGTCACGGAGACCCGGTAAATTAAAAGGGAATTAGAAGAACGTGCCGTTGTTAACCGGTTTTTCGTAACTGGAAACCCGCGAATCGTCTGCTTGATTAAATTTAAACGTCGCGCCTTGCCCTGGCGGTCGCTGGACTATTTTTGACGCTATAAATCAACAGACAGGTGGTTGCTCGAGAGAAAATGCAAATTTTAATGGGACTACACGCGCTTAAGTGGCGGGGTTATTGTTCCTTTTTCTCTTTTCATGGCTTTGTTATTGAAAGTCGGAATATTGTAATGGATTGAAAATTAAACAACCTGCGGCGATTGATTTATTTACTTTCCGAAATTCATTGTATATTGGAATATTAAACATTGAACGTTTAATAACAGGAAAGTGACATTTCTGTGCTTCATATTGAAAGAAAAGCTTTCAACTAAAATACTTCTTCATCGAGTACCAATTTCTAGAGTTGAATCTTTGTTCGACTTTACGTTCTCTAATATCATAATTTAATAAAATCCTAATTAAAATCAGTAACCAAAGAATATTATAATCAAATTCCTACGACTATTTGACCATTTTTAAACGAGGTGGATACGTAAACGAAAGGAACATTCGAGTTCCTTTATGACATACTGCGACCGACAGTCTGCAGAAACATTTCATCCGTGAATATTAAAAATATTCGAGAAAATCTGTGATAATGTTGCTTACTGGACACCCGTTAATGCGAGTGTTCGATGATTTACGAGCTCGCAGCCACGCGCGCGTTGCGGATCGTGTAAAATTTGGGGCGGCCCGTTGACGAGTGACATAATTGAACGTCGACACAGGTGGAACTGGTTCCGCGTGACGAGGAAATTGTTCCGGATGCGTGCGAACAGGTTCGTCGGTTTCGGGCTGCGATAATTGACACGCAAGGCTTGCGTTATATCCACGTGTTATCCCGGGGGCTAGGAGATTACGAGGACGGGTCACGGGAGATGGACTCGTTGCCATTATCGTCGAGGTCGCGTCGTCTGCCGTTCGCCGCGAAAATTACGATTTAAAGTTTCATTTAATTGGAGATTAAGTTTAATTGGAGATCCGTCCGCGTTTGAACATCGTTCTTCCTTTTACATTTTATCTGTCCCTGGTCTTTTTCATCCGTTTCCATTGAGCTGACGTGCACATCGGAGATATTACTTGGTTGTAAATGGTACTCGTGTTATTGAAAATATTGTAGATATTTCGTCGGACTGCCATTGCTTCGTATTTTTACCGTTGGCATTAGGTAAAATATTTAGGAAGATCCATTGTGTTCTTAATTCAGTGAATTTAACTACAATTTTAAACTATTTAACTGGTTTCATTAAAATTTTTGTTTTGTTTTTTTGACTACTTGAAACTCGTTTTATTTAATGTTGTATTATAAATATTGAAGTAGTGTATTGGAATCGAGGTTAGTAGATTTAGAATAGTATAGTATCTTTTCTTTTATTTTTCTTGGATCTAAGAATGTTCCTCTAAAAGTCACACGATTAAATAATCTGTCGGAGAAGCTGAAATAAATATTTCCGGAGCGATTTATTCCGTGAGTAATTTTAGCTTATAAACTATTTTTCAGGAATATGTCATGGAAAATTATGGAGGATTTTCTGTTACGTTTCTTACGCTTGTCTTCTCGGAATCAATCGCTCGTAAATC